CGTAGTAGAGTGAAGGGGTTAAAGAAAAAGTTGAGAGATGGGATGAAAGGAAGGAGGATTCCTCCTGATTTATGGAATTAGTTAAGGCTCATCTCTTGTGGAATAGGAGCAAGTGCATTCAGATGTCTGTGGGCGGGAAAATGCTTAGCATATTTGTGATGATGGTTGAAAATAGAGGGTTGAGATGGGAGGCTGGGGACATGGTTTTTGAGAATATGAATAGGGTGGAGGCCATGGTTTAGAGTTGAGAAAGGTGGTCTCGGAGCTGGGAAGCTAGGGAATTAATGTATTGCGCAGGGGATGGGACTGGTGGACGAATTTGTCGGTTCGATGGGGGAAGGGTTTCTAGGAAACAGAGGAGAGTTACGGAGCGGGGCAGGTCCACATAGCAGTGGAAGAGGAAGGATGGTTTGGCCTAAGAGGGGACTGATGAATTCAGAAAGGTCATCTCGAAAGCTGGAAAGCTAGGGAAATTAATGTATTCACAAACGATGGGGCCGGTGGATGATTTGTTGGTTCGATGGGGGAAGGTTCTCTAGGAAAGAGAGGAGAGTTGGGGAGCAGGTAGGTCCACACAGCAGTGGAAGAGGAACGATGGTTTGGCCAAAAGTAGCGACTTCTGGATTGAGATGAAGAAGATGGAGACTTGGATGGGTGGCAGCTTTAGAACCATCAATGGTTTAAAAAACGGTCCGCCTGGCGCCTAGGCGGCCTGGACCAAAAATCCGCAGGCCTAGACCCAAGCGGCCCTATAGGGCGGATGTACCTAGGCGAGCGCCCAGGGCGGTAAGGCCTTTTTTGTCTTTTTAAACTCCCAAAAAAGCAAAAGGGGTCATTTTGACCCTAAAGTTGGATAAAAACGTAATGGGGTTTATTTTTACCCCCCATAGTAAAAACAAAGAAGAAAAAACCCTCAATATATGAAAACCCCCAAAGTGAAAAAACTACAGGGTGTTGGGCTTTGGGTAGGCCGCCTCGGGGCCCTCTAGCATTTTTTGAAACCTTGAGAACCATTGGTGTTGGAAGGTCTAGACACCAAAGTTTAGAAACTAGTCTCGGCCAAGGTACTCGGCCCGTAGCCGAGCCAAGTAACTCGGGCAAGTCCAAGGCTTCGAGTGGACTCGCTTGAGTCCATTACAGGGCAAAAGGACCATTTAAAAAATAAAAAAAAATAAAAAATATGAAAAAATTACATGAATATAGAAAAAGTAAAATAAAACCAAAAGCAACCTTAAAAAATACAAATAAGACCTTTAAAAAGTGAAAAAAAAATAAAAAAATGAAAAAATTACATGAATATACAAAAAGTAAAATAAAACCAAAAGCAACCTTGAAAAATACAAATAAGCTTAAAGAGTATAGGAAAAATGGATTTAAAAAAAAATTGATTTATAGAAGGGGAGATTTAAAAAAAATCTAAAAAAAAAAAGAAAATATAAAAATTGGGATTATGGTAGAAAAACACTCAGCAATCATTTTCAAGAACATCAAAATCATATTATTTAATCCAAGTGCCGCTGAGAGTCCCATTGAATGGTCTGAATTTGCTCTGACCCAATTCTGGCATTGAAATCTCATCATATGAGGATTTTCCCTGCTTGAGCAAAAATAGTTGCATCTCTACCTGAATATTGAAATGGACAGTCTGGTGAAAGACCTTTATTGTATAAAAAGCTAAATACATCACTGTAGTGTGCTGTTTAATTTTAAGCCAAACATACTGAGTTTTTTCATCCACCTCTTCAATTTGAACTTGCTTTCTTAAATGATTATGAATAAGAATAGCCAAACCTCCAGAAGGTCTCCCTCACTTTTCTTGTCTTTTGTTAGGAAAAGAAGTAGCATTAAAACCAGGAACCGTTAAATGGGGGGTCTCACCATATTTCAACAATACCAAAAATGTCAAGTTTACTGAAAAAGGAAATACTATATATGCTGAGAACTTTATATGTTACAGAGCCATCAATATTAAAAAATCCACAGTGCAAGGACTGAAAGCCCTATTTATTTGTATCTTAACTGCAATATATTTGGCATTCAAGTATGCAACCTTACGTTCTTCTCTTGCTTGTTTAACTTTTTTCTGTTCCTCTATTTGGTTTTGCAAGTTCCTTACATGAAAGATCTTCATTAATCCAGAATTTTTCTCCTTTGAGATTGCATCGATTGTCCCAAATCTTTTCTTTTGCACGCGTATCTCTTAACTTAATAATGATATGGCGAGGTCGCTCTCCTTTGTGGCCGATCCTGTATGCTTCTAGAATAGGCTACTTCGGAACATGCATTTTTCTTCCAGCAATTTCGGAATTTCTTCAAACAAGCCTTCATCTTCTCGTTCGGGAACCCCAACCAATCACAGATTGTGGGCTTTTTCTCACTTTTCCTCCTTGTCTTTCCTGGTTTCAGAGATAGCACCAACATTTGAAACATTGCCATCAGTAGTTCCGATCCTCGAATCAATTTACTTCAAACTTGTTTTGAAGATCTCGAATCATAGGCATTGTTTCAATTTTCGCATCTAGCTCTAACATTTTCTTAGGGACTTCTTAATGCTTGTTCTCTAAGAGATTCAGAAGGAATTTCATGTGTGTAATGAAGTCCTCCACCATGGTTTCAAGATGGTTAATTTTTTTTGTCATCATCTCCTATTCAATCTTTGGAATTGTAATCATTTCCATTTCTTCAAGAGTAGTTTTCCCCGTTCGTCTGTCTCCCCAAGGCATCTGTTAATGGGGCTCGCTCGAGGGCTCATACACTTTGCAGTAACAAGTATATATAACTTCATTTTAGACATTGTTCTGTTATGTAAAGATTAGCTTTTGTTTGGGAAACCTTTCTAATCAATTGTAATTCCATGGTTCAATATTCAGCAAGGCATATTGGTGGTAAACAAAGCACGAGGTGCCGCATAGGTGGCAAGGGGGGCTGGTCGCCTGGATGTGCTGTAAGCGCATTAGTTTGAAGGCACTCCATACACACACGCATATGCATATATGTGTTCTCCAAATGCATACACACGCACACACACACATATATAGGAATATAGGAATATAGGAAAAAGCTTCTGTCAGCCAATGGGCTCATGAAACATGTAAGCCCAACGGCCTAGATTGAATCTGGACCGATCCAATGATCACAATCGTATTTTGTAATTGAATTTTAATTTTTTTCTACATATCCAAATTGTTTGAAATTTGGAGTGTCTATTCTTGAAGTACATTAGAAAAATAATTCACATAAATTAAATTGACCAAAATACCCCTGAAAAGTTTTGGAGGCATTTTGGTCAATTTACTTTATGGGAATTATTTTTTAATATTTTTATTAGGTTCACCTTGATGAAAAGAGTTTATGCTCCAAATTTCATGCTATTTGGATTTATATAAAAAATATTAAAATTATATTACCGATATACAGTCATGGCCGTCAGATCGGCTCGGATTCAATCTGGGCCATTGGGCTTATACTATTCTATCAACTAGTGGGCTCACCCTAGCATATATATATATATATATATATATATATATATATATAGTAGTAGATAGAGTA